TGGAGGTGAACTGTCCACAATGCGCGCGCGTTTGAAACTGCAGTCTGCCAGGTGGCGGTGAAGAAGGGTCTGTTCCTTAACACTGACTGTCCTAGAGGATCTGTTGTCCTCCTTGCCAGACGCTGTGACTCGGATGATGAATGCTCGGTTGTTAGCTAAAGGGAGTACTGGTTTCCACTTCCTTCAACGTTTCTCCTCATCTATCATTGTCACTTTACAGACACGCTTTTGTTACTAGTCTTTTGTTCCAAGTAAGCTTTTTTGTTGATGACCTCATGCGTCCAAATCATGGGACAGGGAGCTTCCGACACGCGTCTCACTGCCATCTTACTCGTTTTTCATTCATCCCGTAGTGAATTTTAAATTGGCCGCTGTAGTCATCAGTACACGCGACTGCTGATCTTTTTGTGAGTGTTCCGAAGAGGCGAACCCATTGGCAGTTGAAAAGTCACCGAAGACTTTTGGTAAAGCCAAGCTACCGGAGAGAGTAATTTCAACTGTGGACTGCTTTAAACGAAGAAAATACGTTAAAAATAGCGTTGGTCTACCACTTTAAGTACCATTAGCCCCAGAATTCTCTCTTAGAGGACCGGTGGTATTAGTACATTTTGGTTTTTTTGTTTACTATGTAGTTTATTAGTTTAATTTTAGTCTTATTGCCGTTTCGTTTTTAGTTTAGCTAGTTTGGTTAAGTTTAACGAAGTTTAGCTTAGTAAATAGTTGTTATTTAAGTACATTTATCTAACCTTAGCGGTATCTAACTAAACTGAAACAAAAAAATCAAAAAAACTAAAACTGAACTAAAAACTAAATTAAACTAAAACTAATAAAACTAAAAGTAACCACAGGACTAGGGGCTAGGAGTATCTAAGATAGACGACCAACTGTATTGCTACCGAAAATATTTTAAGCAAGCTTTCAAGTGAGTATTTTTTTTACCGGTCAGCGGGATGCTAAGTGCATCGTGTAGCCTTTTAGTTACTTACTTCTAAGGCAGGGGGTCGGGAACGCATGGCTAGCGAGCCAGGTGTGGCTCTTTTGATGATTGCATCTGGCTCTCTCAGATAAAATTGGAATTATAAGCTTTAGATTTTGTGATTTTGGTTCCTCCAATGACATGCAACCGCCGAGACGAGTGGCGGAATTTAATCACATTTAATTGAAATCAGTCCGAAGATGCACTTTCTGGCTTTTACTTAAATATATATTTGCAAATATTTACTTTCTTTGCTCTCTGAGTGAAGAAGGTCCCCGAGCTCTGCTGTAAGGAATCCAGACAATTTTTTCACCCCGTCCTATAACTCTGCTGCCTTGTTGTCTTGACCGTCTGTGCAGTCAGAACCCCAAAAACAAACTGCTCATTTGAAGGAATCCCTTAGTTGGTTGCTTCCTTGCTGGGCTCATCCGAAGTTTTTGTCCTGAAGAAAGGTTGAAAGGCATGCATGCATCGAATGAGGTGATTGCGGAAAGACGATGAAGTGTGTATAAAAAAGTCGGTGACAGTCGTTCGACAAAATATGTCTGAATTCTCTTCGAGGTGCAATATCGGTGTGACAAGAAGTCGGCCTGTTTTTGTTAGCTTTAAGTGCACATGCAAATTGGAGGACTTTTTTGTTTTAGGCGGTGAAACTCTACTCAAAAACGTGACGTAAGCGAAAATGTTGCTGTCCTGGGACGAGTTTGCCTTGATTTGCACTATCGTTTTTCAATCTCCAATTTACCGTATTTAGTGAGCTCTGCACCCTATACAACAACAGTCCGCGTCAATTAAAACTAAATTAACTTTAACATTAGCAAAAGGTATTCTTAAATGGAAAGACACACCAGAGTAGGAGTAAAATTGACCTGTCTTTCCGGTTCCACTATAAACGAAGTCACACCCAAATCACCACCCCCGCGCCAATCTGCTTCGGTGCACACGGTGGGTCTCATCGGAACCAAACTGTTTTATAGTCGCGTGTAAAAGATGAACTAAGCGTGTTTTGTGTGTGCCGGTAGAGATAATTGTTGTAAGGCGGCCGTTGCTGTACTGCTTTACCGTGGAACCCACGTGGGTTCTGCGTTTAGTGGGTTATTGTCGTATTTTATAGTAATATATTTTACTAATTGTTGGCTTTCGGACTTCCCATTGGGTCTGCCAAATCGGACTTGATATAGTATTTAGGGAGCTTTACTTATTTTTTAAGCCATGTTGGGTGACGGTAATAAATCATCGTAGGGTCTCCCACATATTTAGAATAAGTAGGAAAAAAGAAGGCAGCTCAATCACCGGAATCATTTATTAATATATCGGAGCCTTCAAACTCGTACAGGAGTACATCCTCAGAGATAAAAGTGGTAACCGAACAAGCAACATTTATAGGGGGTAGGGGCCGATTAATCATCAGCAACATCAAAATCTGAGGTAAATGCGCAGAGCTTTGTGTTCCGGCTGCATACCCATATATCGACTGACTGAGTTCTCATCGGAGGCCCAGGCTTCAATCCATTCGAGGTTTGTCTTGCTTTTGGCGTGACGATGGACTCCTGTACTAATTGCAGAGCTCAGACGAATAAAGAAATTATTCCGGCAATCGAAAAATCTTCTGCCCTACTGGAATATAAACCTTTATGTCAATGTTTCAAATGGTGTCTTATCCTTTGATTGTTAGTAAACGGAGCACGGAGTGACTGCACCGACTAAATTCTACTTAGCTGCCTAAAACCCTTGCTAGTACGTCACGTAGCTATGGGAGTAGGAAATTTGGTTGAATGGTAAAAGAAATAATCTAGTCATCTTTTGTTCTTCAGCTGCTGTGCCCTACCAATATCTTGCGCCCAAGGACGGCTCTCCGCTCGGCGGTCTTATTCAGGATCACGTCATCGCTGCTGTCAAACTGACCATGAGAGACAGATTTTTTGAACGTGAGGAGTATCTGGACCTAGTCTATAGCGCTCTTTACGCCTCTATCGGCGAGGCCGGCTCCCTACCGGATATCATTCTCTTGAAACCCGCAATCCTATGGCCGACGCGTCTTTGGACAGGCAAACAGGCAAGTCTGGATCCCTACATCAACTCCCATGCATTTTACGCAGACGAGCCTAACCCCCCGCGGAGGACAATCGTTCTCCCCCCGTTTTCGTTTTTTCCCTTGCCGATGTGACCACTACCACATGTTTGCTCCTAGAGTAAGATCCTACCGCATATATTTTTCTGGCATAATCTCTATAGAAATCAGGATTCTACAAGTAGCTGGCGGCGTTTGTTAAGCGGTTAATTATTCTTACATGTGCGCATGCAAGGCAGCTGTCTACTTTGCGTTCGGTTCTTGACTTCGACACCAGTCTGTCTGGGTATTATCTCCATCTGCCGTCATAAAAATCCCAGTCCTGACGTCATGCGCTTGAAATCCCTGTCGATTTTATAGTCGGCATTTTTTAATCTACACCGACACTCTTTAGATATAGTGCCCACTACTTTGCGGTGCCATCAGGAGAATCATCAACTGTCTGCCAAAACGCAATCGAGTGCGCACCTAACTGGCAAAATAAGTATTGAAGATTAAAACTGCTTATGGCGTTTTAGAGTTCTTAGAGGTAGTCTGTACTGTAGAATTGACTACTAATACAACCGGTGATCAATATTCCTTAAATAAAAAAAAATTCGTAGGATAGCTATACATGCATTATGACAACACACCTAGTCTGTTTGGTGTTCGACAGCTATGCAGTACAATAGGCGGAGAAAGAAGGCTCGTCGGGAAATCGAGTTTTATTCGTGAATTTTCGAGCTGGTGGCACTAGCTCGTCATCAGACTGAGTGAAAGTGAACGGATATCCGACGAGTTTCGTGAAAAAAACTGTTTCCGACGTCAGAGACAATCAGAAAATCGGAGTTCTACCGCAGAAGTGGTACAGCGGACATTCTGTTCCTCACCCTACATGCAAGGACTTTCTGAATTGATCGCCCGACAATTAAATGTAACATCTGCCCACAAACCCTCTAGTGCGACAATCCTAGCCCTTACTTTTCATTCAGTCTAACGACCAGCTAGTGCCACCAGGTCAAAAATTCATGAGTAAAACTCGATCTTCCGACGAGCCTTCCTTCATTTATCATCTCGAAATGCATACTACCTCGGTTATTCAGTACAATAGGTGTTATAGCAGATTTAAATATTTTATTTGCCGCAATTTTGAAGACCTCTGTGGTTTCAGTGGGATTCGAACCTGTACCAGCAAATTGAAGAATTAAGTATTATAGTCAAGGCTGTAGCCAGCTGAGCTACTAGGTAATTGAGAAGAGGAAGATTCGATCGCTGGAAAAACACTTTTATTCGCTAGAATGGATCCGCGACGGATGTCGAAACGTCAGGTGAATAAAAGTGTTGTTCCAGTCAGCTACGAAGCCCTACCGGGATCCGTGAGTTTAATAACGTTTGGGTCAATTTACTTGCCCAGCCTACCGCAGCCTATGCAATCCACCAATTCTGATACAGTAAGCTGACTGCCCAAGTAGAATTTCCTAGGCAACCAATCTGGCCTCCACCAGATGATTACCAGCCTCAATTAATTACTAGGTGATTGGGCAGATTTTAATAATTAATTTGACCCGTATGCGAAAACTCGGCGGTCTCAAATTTACGACAGTAAGGCGCGAGGGCTTTATTACGGACAACGCTCTAGCCACTTGAGCTAGAACGTCCCACCGGAGGCCGTGTGTTTAACCTCCTGCTTTCCCCAAGGGGTTTCCGCCGAAATTCAGGTGTTCGACGGGTGTGACTTTATAGTGCGTTGTTACGACCCACGTGGGTGGGACATGATTTAACGGTCAGTTGTGCTGGCGGTAACCAATGAGGCCGCCGAGTTTTCACAGGTGGGTCAAATGAATAATATTTTCTGGCACAGAATTGTGCGCATCTTTCGGGTTTTTGAAAAGGACAATAACTGTAGGAAAACGGAGCATGCTTGGTTAACTACCCGGCATATCTGCTGGCGGCAAATACTGAAATGACCTTGAGGAGAGTTAGTAGGGAAATAAGCAGCATGCATTGTATGCCAGATAAACAGTTTGTGTTAGTAGGCTATTAAGGTCCAAGGTCAGCAGAATCTGGAAACGGCACGAACTCCCGTTGACTTAATTCATCCTGCATCCCGACTGCGTGTCAACCTGGAGGGTGAGTTTCGGACCACGAAAATTGACTTATAAAAACGTTTCATTTAGTACAGGTGCCCACATCGTTATCCACAATCTATTTCACAGAATCAGCGGTAACGGACACTTCTGTACCTCTTTCCATGCGCCAGAGGGCAATTTTGCTAACAGTTTTCTTCGAATATAGAATAAGGCACCACTCGCCGTGTACAGGAACGTGCGTGCCCTTCTGCTACGGTGAGTACAGCGTCTGGTCGTGAGGGCTTGCGCGTGCTTTTCAGAGAAGCGTTTGCCAGACCACGCTTCGTATAGCATCAGGGTGTTGAAAGCACCTGATCTTCCATGAGGTACAAATAAGACCTTCTTAAGGATACTGCCGTTGTCAGAAGTTGGGAGGGATTTGATTTGCAAATCTACTGAGAAGGCAGAGCACAGGGACTCCTGAAAAATGGCAGGGGAACGAGGCAATTGACGGAGTGTGCGGAAGGCATTGAGCTAACTCGCCTTTGGAGCATAACTTTGTCTTATTTTTCCAGCGAGATGCTGGAACAGACGTGCAGTATGAAATATTTAAGTTAAGAACGTGTTCACGGGCGAACAACGGCATATCCACTGTTATTGGTTTATGAAGGGTGGATTGGGTAACGTGGTCTGCGGCAGACAACATTAACTCAAACTCTACCCAACCGTAAACTTAACCGATCCCTTAAAATTTGTATTAAGCCCAGCCAAAAACGTAACTGTAGATCAAATAAACAAGCGTGCTATGGGAATGAAAGCCATGCACTTGAATAATAGACTGTCGTCCGTCCAGACTAGTGTTTCGTTCCAACCACTTTGCCGTAGTAATTCAGACCGCCTCTGGGGCCTCCTCCTTTAAAACCATCTGGCGCGGATTAAAGCAAAATTTTCAAAGGCGGTGCTCGGCCGCATCAGGCGTCGCCATAAATTTTTTATCTCTCAGCAAAACTATCCATCTGGTTGATAGGGGGTGCATAGAGTGTTTACTTTTATGATGATCCGGGCTTCGGGGACTTAAATTACCATACCACGCGTTTTGCGTTGCACCATCTCGTAGTGCCAAGTGCCATAAAGTGTTTCAACTAATGCTGATGTCAGCTGTCCTCTCCGAGCCTCCGATGCCAGAAGTACTTTGCCACACACCACCCGGCAAACTCGGCCACTTCAGTTGGAGTCCAGTTTAAAGACGGCCTGGCGGCCGAGTAGGACTACGACTGTAACCCCAATCGGTAATGAAACTGAAGCGTAACAAGGACTTTAGCGGGAAGTTCCTTTCAGTGGAAGTCGGCGAGCTTTGTTTTTTGCCAGTAATAGTTGACCAGGGTCTTCTTATTCGTATTTTGAAATCAATGGACGTAGCAACCAGTGGAACGGCTCTCTCTGCGTAACTGTAGAAAAACGATCGCGGCACGAGTCTCCTAAAAACTGTGGTAAAGGTCTGCACAGTCGTCCTTGTCAGTCGCCCTTTTGTGTGCCATGACTCGCGAACTAAAAGTAGTCGGTGCAACCTTTTGTCCTGGCAATGCCCTCTAATGTTTGAACCTCAGACATTGTTACTGTTAACAGCAACCCATTCTTGTCCCTCTTGTGATTTCTGCCTTTACTTTTTACTCTGTCCACTTTAGCTCGCTGTGAACGACTATGCTACATGGTGGTATACCTCCGAAGCAACTCGGGTTGCTTCAAATTTACCAGCACGGAGCAAGCACCCTAATTCATATGAACAGACTAGACAGTAATTTTTATACTGTTACTTCCGGTGTCGTAGATATGAGCAGTGTTGGGTGATAAACAGCCAAACACTGCATCATAAGCGTTTTTGCTGTCAATTTGCGCGTCTCGATTTGGGTGGATTTGGGCCTTGTCGACCTAGGAACATTCACCTAAACACAAATTAACGGACCGGGTGCTGGTCATATTACCTAAAAGGCGGCCCGAATTTCCCGTGAAGTATTACTTTGCTCTTTTGGCTGCTTGAGTCGAGGCTTATTTTCTGTCAGGTCTTTTCGCCAAAAAAACTAAGGAAAAGTTTGAGAAAACCTAGCAGCCATACCTACTTTAGAAATAGAAGATGCAATCGCTGGGATAGGAATTTTTTTGCCCGGCATTTCGGATTCTTTCGACAATGCTTTATCATAGGTAACCGTAGATTGTGAGACATGCACAGATTGGGATGATATGTGTACAGATCGCGCAGTATTTACAGATCGGAACGGTCACCCGCATGCGTGCTGTAATTATCAGCTCCTGTTGGCATCGCTGGGGGTCTATCGGCATGTCTCTCCGCAGGTGTAGTATAATTTGCCTTTGTCACTCCTTAGTTTTCAACGTGTCAATAGTTGATTGCGTCCATCGGCTAGTAATCGCCTAGCTGATATTGTGATGTTAGTGTTAGAAGCCTTTCCAACCGCTCTTTTCTGGAACATTGGTTGACGTTTTTAAAAAAATTAATTGGCACTTGCTATTCTATCACTTCTGTTCTATGTTTCGATCTGTTCTATGCATACAGAGAAAACCTTTTAGGAGCAACTTCAACTATACCCATTTTCGAATGAAAGCGAAGGTTCGCGATCCAGGTACTTGCATGGATGAGGAAGAAGGCAGGTCGAGCACCAGATCAATTGATCTGGTGCTCGACCTGCCTTCTTCCTCATCTATACCCATTTTGTCCACTAGCGCAGTATAGTTTGCCTTCATTCATCCAAAATTTCTGGTATCTCAAGGTATCCATGGTAAATTCTGTCTTTTAATGGCCATCGACTAGTAATAGCCGGACCGGTATTTTCTGGAGCCTTCGTTGACCTGACTTTTTCCGTTTTTGCTATTTAATTACTCATTGGGTTTTCAGTCCGTTTTTTCGTTTTTTCTGGCCGAAGACTTATGCCTGTTCTGCCCCACTTGCGCTTATATGTTTGCTGCAGCTACCCAATAATGCTATCTGAAATTGTTTTTTTTGTATGTACAGGTTGTTTCTACATTGCTGATGAA